AGGGAGACACTTTTCCCTGTGGGTCAGTGATCTGGATGAACTTCCAGGAAGAGACAGGCAGGGACACAGACAAAAGCCTCCTTTTCAGTTTTAGCGGCTGGGTCCCAGGGGTGATGGAAATGAAGCCAGAGGACAGTGCAGACCTGTTCCACCAGTATGCAAATCACGTAGTGAGACACCAATGACTTAGCAAGAACCGAGGGTGACTCACTCCACATCTGACTGTGCCGGTTCAGACCCGAGGAGCCGGCTTGGATTCAGCCAACCCTTTCTAAGGAGGTTTTGTTGGGATTCTACAGAAAGGAGAAGAGGACTCCATTTTTGGAGTGAATTCTATGTGTGAACTTTCAGCGACATCTTTGGGGGGTAGATGTGAAGGGGGCAGACAGCCCCCTTTCTGAAATCTTTGTTTCTCTAATCAGCAGTTTTATTTAGCCATTTGCAGAAAAACCTCAGTCCAGGGAAGAGATTGCATGTTTCTCTTCTTTTTTCAGGAAGTTGATTTCATTCATGTGTGTCTTGCAGAGTTTTGAACAACTAGATGCTCACATGTTTTATTAATGAACAAACGTCTTTCCATTATGTGAGAGCAAACAGAGATTCTGAGAAGCAGAGTGACTTTTCCAGGGTCACACAGCTGGTATGTAGCAGAAAATATTCAAATTTAGTTGCTCAGACCTCAGATCAAATGCTATCTGCAGAGGCCTTAGAGCAGATGGGGAAGTGAAAAGGGATATTACGTGACCACTGGGCGAGATCAGGATGATTTAGGCTTTTTGGTTCTTGCGGCATTGTGCTCACCCCTTTCCTAACTACCTTTTCCTAACTACCTAGCACTTGTCTGAAGCCCCTGCAGGAATTCTGATTCTGGAACGTCTCTGCTGTTTGGTCCTGGGTAGGGGACACAGCATTTTTGTGGTCAAACGTCTGACTCCCTCTGCTGCACAAGGAGTCCCCTCCTCATGGAGAGGGAATAAATGGAGCCTCCTATCCCACAAGGTGACCCCATGCTCAAGTTTCCAAGGCAGCTGGCATTCCAGAACATTCTCGCTAATTCTGGGGAGGCCCTGGCCTTTGTCCCGGCGTGGTTCCTGCTGGCTGAGCTATGAGCTAGCAACATCCAGTCCAGTTAGCAGCGAGATTGATGTGGGATTAGAGGGAGTTATCAGATCCTTTGATCAAACTCAAAGCCTGTTGCCACTAGCTTATTTCTCAAATTAGGTGAAGCCACTGGGTGGAAGGTCATTGTGTAATCTTGTTCTTTAGTCATTTACATGTTTTGTTCCAACCAATCACAGTCAAGAAATCTTATTAACCAAGGCAAAAAGGCAGCCTCATTTTCTGAGGGGCGCCTTTGGGCCCATCTTATTCCAGGCAGGGTCTTGTGCTGTCTCATTTGACCCTGGCAATTTGAAGAGGGAGAAACTGTTCACTTCCCCATCTATGCACAGTTGAGGTGATTGAGGCTTACAAATAACCACACACTTAGTAAATGATTGAGCCAGAACTGGCATGCCGGCCCAGATTCATGACTGCTTTGCTTCCCCCTGAAGCCCCTGCTGCAGACACCAGCTCCATCCTGAGATACTGAAACATTTCACCATGAGCTGGGAGGTGGACTTGCAAGCTTCTGTCTGACACTGAGTCTCTGGGCCCATTGCTTCCCAAAGGGAGTCTTTTCCCATGGCGCCCCACTCCTTTCTCATTCATAAGCACTCCCTTCCTGAAGCTATTCTAATGACTGGTCTCTTCCTCTCTCCTCGAGTTCCTTTCATGTATTTATTTTTTCTTTTCTTGAGCTCTAGCCTTAAGTGTCTGAGTCAGTGGAAGGGGAGATGGGAGCCTCGTCCGGGAGGGAACACACCCTTCCTCTGCTCCGCCCTGGTTTCCTAGGCCGGTGACCTAAAGGCCCCATGCAGGGGCCAGGGGAAGAGTTGGAGGTTTTCCAACAAATCTTTTCTGAGGACCTGCAGGTTTTTCAGTTGAGAGAAATGAGACCATCGAAGGGCTTTTTATGTCCAAATCAAAAAAAAAGTGGTTAGAGAGTAAAATCGTCTCTTTATTGAGCAGGTCAAGGTGCAGGCACTTGGTCCCCTGGGTCTCCAATCTGTGCACAGCCTGTCAAACAGTGGTGGCTATGCTTCCTTAAAGTGTGACAATTCTGAAGTGCAGCGAGATGTTGCTGATGAAGTTCTGCTCTTTCTGTTACCCACCGCACCCCAGTGCACAGCCCAGACTGGCTGGAGGTAGGCCAGGTAGGCCCCATCTATGCATCAACTGTGCATAGATGGGGAAGTGAACAGTTTCTCCTTCTTCAAATTGCCAGGGTCAAATGAGACAGCACAAGACCCTGCCTGGAATAAGATGGGCCCAAAGGCGCCCCTCAGGTGGTGGACACGCCGCCGGCGAACTGCTCTTTGTTCTGGGACTTGCTGACGTCCTGAGGACCTCTGTTGAGCTGCAGCTACAGGAACACCATCCCCATGGCCACTCCCAAAAGAAGGGGCCTTTGAGTGAGGAGTGCACTGTTGCAGTCAGTTCAGCAGAAAGCAGGGAATAATAGCCTTTGATAGGCTGATTATTTTTTCTGGTACTGTGTGCCTTCCCTAAAATCACTTAGTTTTTGACCGTGACTTACAAAAACGTTTCCCAGTGATGACTCAAAAGACCCTTAGCATTCCAGGCAGCATGACTTGGGAAAGACTTCCTGACTCGGTGAAAGCCAAGTTTATTAATTTGACATCCAGCCCCCTCCCCCCCCTTTATGAACTGTCCCTGGTAGCCTTGGAAGCCATCTCCTGTCCTCATTTCTCACCTCACGCCTCCTCCACTCCCCATCCCCACCCCACGCACCCCCTTCAGCTCTCCTGAACTACTGAACTAACTCAAGTTCTCTGGGTCTTTGATTGCTGGCTTTTAAGCCATCTTTTGGCCTGGAACACACCCCTCACTGCCATCCCCTTAAACTCCCAGCAAATTCACATTCATCTTGCTGATTCAAGTCAAGTATCCCTTCTCCTTAGTAATTGACCCTGGCCCCACAACTTCTAGTTCTCATGAAGCCCTCAAGTACACTTACTCGCTTGTTTATTTTCTGTATCTTGTCCCCCCTGCTCCTCCACTACAGTATGCTCAATAGAGTGGTAATTATAACCTTGCATTTTTGTGTTCTTAGTACCTATCTTAGTGCCTGGGTTGTTTGTTTATGTATTTATTTCTTCTGGCTAGTTTGACCTTTAGGTTATTTTTTAAATATTTAAAAAAATTTATTTTAGAGTATTTTTTCCACTTTCTCCCCCAAACCTTTTTAGGATGTCCATGGGAATCTGATTAAAATCACATGTTTATACGTTTGTAAGTTGAATGTCCTTCTAAACAAACATTCTTAATAAGTAAAAATTCTAACTATCCAAACTGTCCTTTATGTCCCTTACTTCGTAAAGGTCCTATGCAGTTTTGGTAAGCTAATTACTATTTATGTGATCATCTTTGCTGTTATGAGGACTTTAGACATTAGCTGGTTATTATTTTTTATATAGAAACCCATTAATCTTAGATTTCCCAATAATGCATTCATATAATTTCAGAATGATTATAAAGTTGGCTGCTGTTTCCATGCCTGGGATTTTTGAAATAGTTTTTCTAGTTGAGGATTCAGTGCTAGACACTGTTCCTCCTCGGACAAGAGTGACTTGGAATCTTCCACTTTTCTGTCTCCTGTGGGCCAGTGGCTGCCTTGCTCTGTACTGACCACTGAAAGGAAGGTGTCCATTTGTCTCAAGAAGGGCAGAATCTCCCCTTCACCACTGTCACCGGCCTATCTTCAGTCCTCCAACCCCACCCTCTGTTCTCTTCCCCTCTCTCCTGGCCTCTCCGCCTCTCCAAGTGCTTTGCTTTGATTTGTAGTCGGAAGTTCCCCTTGTCCCATCGCCTCTTCCTCCTCATTTCCCAAGTTCCCACAGGAACCTGGGAAGTAGGTTGTGCCCAGAGGTTAGAACGGAAACTGTAACAAGATAACTCCGAGAGACAATGCCCAGTTGACGTCACTTCAATTTAGTTGCTTCGGCTGAGGGTGGGTTTTTTTTGTTTTGTTTTTTTGGCTTCCATTTTTCTTCAGGTTACTCTTTACCCGCCCAGTCCAACATTGGTTAACCTAGATTTGATAGCTCTGTTATTGTCTGATTCGGTCGTGTATTTTCTTATATTCTAATTCAAAAGTCATAGTTTCAGGTGATGGCGTAGGAGTCTGCCTTTTGATAGCATCTTTCCTGTGACTGGCGTGATAAGTGCCCCTCAGAGTCATGTACTTTATTTCATTGGCTGTCTGGCAATGAAGAAGCAGAGTGAGTGGAGATTAAAACACAAAAATGTGGGCTCTACCTGGTGGCGCCACGGGTTAAAGCAACACATTATGAAGCTCTCTGAAGCCACTGCAGCACGAGTTCAATCCCTGGCCAGGGAGCTAACCCACATGGCACGGCAGACCTCTCCTGACGCGCCTGCTGCTCCCATCAGCAGCCCTCTCTGTCTCTGGTGAATCCTCCTACCCACACCTCTGGCCTATACTCCAGTTCTGTTAAGCATAAATAAATAAATCTTTAAAACACACACACACACACAATGTGTAACTGACTTGTCATCAACTGTTACTTTCCCTGGTTACTGTTCTTTAATTAGTTCTCTCAAAGATATAAAAGGGCAGTGACATTTGTCAAGCAACTACTGTGTGCCAGGCAGGGTGCTGTGGCCGCCCTCAGATATTACCTTGCTTGGCTTTCCTTTAGCTTATCTCCCAAAAAGAACTCGACGTTTCTGATTTGTTAGTATGGGAATGAAGGCTCAAGGTTTAACTCTCCGGCTTGTCCAAATTGAATGTTCTTTTTCCATCGTGCCACCCAAGGCCCAGATGGTTCCAGTTAGCAAACACGTAGCCTGTGTGGACCTGGTGTTCCCATGGCCTGCCAAGTCACTTAGCATCTGTTCGTTTTATCTCTCTCCAGCTGTACCTGCAGGCCCGCTTCACTTGGCGAGGTGCCCGCCTGCTCCGGCCCCTGCTGCAGTTCACCCTGCTCATGATGGCCTTCTACACGGGCCTGTCCCGAGTGTCTGACCACAAGCACCACCCTAGCGACGTCCTGGCAGGATTCGTTCAAGGCGCCCTGGTGGCTTGCTGCATAGTAAGTAGCTCTTGTCCTCAGTGTGCAAGCAGAGTCCTGGGCTGCGGGCTTGGTGAATGCTTCCAGCTCGGTGACCAAAACCGGGCGCTCTCGATCTACTTCTCTTCTTGGAGAACCCCTCCAGTGGAAAGAAAACCGTTCTTGTTTCCTTCCAGCCGGCGAATTTTGCTCCGATAGGGTCTACAAATCCTCTTCTGTGTAAACACAGTGGGGACTCAAGGAATGCTGCAATGGAAGAAATACTGTCCAACTTGCTCACTTTCAGGAAGAGGAAATATAGGGTTCAAGAGGGGAGGGAACTGGCCCCAGGCCACATCCCCTGACTCAGAGTGCTCATGAGCCACTGTCAGTCTTCTCAGCTTCTGGGAAGACACCCTGCTCATTGTGACCTTTAGGGTGACTGGGTCAGACTTAGGGTGTGAGAGTGACTGGAGTAAGGGGGAACTTTCCCCAACTCAGGACTTTGCGGTTACAGACCTCTTTAAAGAATGGCCTTGGGATGGGCCTCATTCTGATTGGCCCCAAATGTATAGCTCTCTTTTCCTGGACTTCATCCCTCACTCCAGTGCAAGTGAATCGGGCATTCCCCCTCTTTGAGCTGCATCTCCTCAGAAATCTCTGCCTTTCCCACCACTGATAGTTAGAGGGGCTTATTCAGCAAACCTAACAGAGTGCCTGCCTTGGTGGTGTGGCTTCCTGGGCCCCCTCAGAGTTCATCCCAGCCCAGCAGGGCTCCAGACAGTAAGAGCTCCCTGTCTGGGCAACACAGAGTAGGCTGTATTGTTAGTGTGGCCTTTGCTTATTCGTATGGGGCACTGTGGTCCAGCTCTTTGTCCTTCCTTGATTTCTAGGCCTGGTTGCAGCTGCTGCTCATCTCCCTGTGATCACCCTCTCTCTCTACTGTGGTATTTCTCTGGATTGAAGTTGTAGGCGTGTCTCCCTTTAGTCTGACTTCCATGGGTAACATGTTGCTCTCTTACGTTCCCCCCAAGGCTCCATAGGGGCCCTAGCTCTGAGTGAGTGCATGTGTGCTTAACCAGCTACAACTAGACTTGACCAGTGGATGTAACCCCCCTTTTTTTTTTTTTTTAAAGATTCATTTATTTTTGCATACAGAACTGGGGTACAGGCCAGAGGCTCAGGGGCGGCGAGAGGCTTCACCAGAGACAGAGTGGGGAACAGAACAGGCAGATCAACGAAGT